GCGTAAACCCGCACCCACTCAATCACTGACAGCTCTCACTGCAAGTGGCAGAACCTCTGTTTTCCTTTTCAGAGCGAAACAAGTGTCAGATGTTTAGTTTGGGACCATAACTCAATCCGACCACGGGTGATGTGTCATTGATGTGGTCTTTCACACCACAGATCTGTTGTTTTCTTCAAAATGTTGTCCATGGCTCCAGTCATGATAGAAAAAAAAAACTTGTAATGGTTCATTGTAACTCAGTGTTAGGATTGGCAATGTTGATATGTTTAACCAACTTATTTTCTCAGTTTTCATTTTTATTATGGCCTTTATCATATATGTATGTATAGAATAAATTTTTTTTGTAATATAATAATATAATATAAATAATATAATTTTATATCATAAAATTTTATAATGTCTCAGTGTGACAAACAGACCAAAATTAAGACGCTATTCAATTATCGCAACCTTTATAATAGTTTTATTTATAAAATAATTTAATTTATATTTCATTTAATTATGTATTTATTTATTTATTTTAGTTGAATATATATATATATATATATATACAGTGTGTATATATATAAATTTAAAAAATTGTTGTTATTTTAGGATGTTTATAACCTTAACATAATTTGAATGAAAAATCTTTTAGTTTTACCGTATGGAGGGAGCAAGACGTCATTCATTTGGGATTTCACTGGCAAGTTTGACAGGAATGTAGGGACAGAAAGCTCAGCCAGTGATGGTTTGGAAGAGGGACAAACACGTGACGTCGCGTCTGATCCGGGCAAAAGGACAAGCTGGCGCAGTAAACCCTTAAGAAAGAAGACAGATCATCATCTTACCAACAGGTATGTTTGTGTGTATGCTAATATATTTTAAATAAAGCAAAATAATTAGCAATATCAGAATGTAAATCTTACAGAGAACAGGCCTTTCCACTTCCTTCGACTTCCAATGTGGAACCTGGATCCATCGGTGCTGAGATCAGAGGGAAATGGCTGTTTATGGACCCTGAAACCCATCAGGGAACGTACATTACTCACAGAACTCAACTTTAAACTGCAATATTTTATTTCGTTGCAGAATCTATTCTATTTTTGTGGTTTGGAAAGATCCTGCCCCTAGAAATAACAGATGTCATGCTTCACTGTTCTTAAAACATGTAATAAAATGAAATTTGCATTTAATATTTAGTTAATTGCTTAAGAATTCATTGCAAGAGTATGTGCACTTTTGGCCAAGAAATTGTAACCAAAAAACAAAATTTAGCTCCGAGGTCATCTATATGCCTATATCTTGTAGTGAATAGGGTCTTTCTACTGCCGTTACAGACTCACAGTTCCAGAGGGACACCACAGTCCAGAGTGAGGGTGGCATGGTGACCACTGACGGCTAACACCATGCTGTGCCAGCGGTTGTCCGCCAGGTGAATTCTTTTAAAGCTGAGACGTTCCCTCCCCATTGAGCCCTGATAGATGAGATGGACTTTCTCTTTAGAGAAACGCAGGCCAAGCAGGAGTTGATTGGCACCCTCCTTCACCACAGCAAACAAGTACTCATTCCTCTGAAAGACAGCAAGCACATGGTGCATCTAATACACAGCTCCACAAAGGGTCAGATGCCAGTGTCCAGGTCAACTTAATTATTATAGAAAGTCTCAAATTTTTTTTATTTTTACAGCTCAAGCAGGGTTGCTTTCTGATGTATTGTATTCATGTGATCATTTCACTAGGACTCAAATTTTTTCAAAACATTTTCACAAAACACAAAATGTCAAATTTGAAGAAAAACGAAATAAAACTACATAAATGTAGGCTACTGTAAAACTGCTGGAAATGTATTTTCTTGCCACTTGAAAGATATTTTGGTAAATGAAGGTTGAAACTAGATATATTCTGAAAATATATTTCATTGAGCTTCACTGTTTATGACATACACTGTAAAAAATGACCGTGAATTTGACAGTAAAAGACTGTAAAAATGCTAAAAACCTGTTAAATGGTTAACGGTAAATTCCCCTACTATACACGGTGAAAAACTGTATTGGACATTACATGTATTGGACATCAATTTTACGGTAGTATACAATTTTTTGGAAGTGAAAAATGACGTATAATTTACAGTGAATAATCGTAAATTGACATTCCCAGAATTCCCTGCGTTACATTTCAAATTTGATGTTTTTTTGTTGAAATAACTATGTTTCTTAGTTTTTTCTTATCAGTTTTGTATATTAGGGTTGTGTGTTACACCTAATGTTGTTAAATGAATGTTTATTGCATTATTTCAGTTTCATGTGTGTTACCATGATGGTGTTTAGCATTTGTGTTAATGACACTGTGTACCTTCTATATATGTTATTATTTAAAAGCTGCTTGTGATGGGCTTTGGTTCATCATGTGACTTTCTCATCACCACCAGCATTTGGTGGTTATCAGTGTATTACAAAGGTACAAAACAGATTTCAGTACTTCAGTAGGTTGGTATATTAACATTATATCAGTTAATGAAATTATGGTATTTAACTGTAAATTTAATTTAAAACCGTAAAACCTAAAACATTGCTATCGTATTTTTTACAGTAAAATTCCGGCAACCACAGCTGCCATTTTTTTACCATAAATTTTACAGTGTATGGTTAGCATATATTTAAATAAAAAATAGTGTAGAATAATTTTTTCAAAATATTTTTTCTTCAAAATATCTTCATTTATATTCCACACAATGAAAGTCAATGGGAACTGAACAATCAAATGTAAGACAACGTAAACTATCCTCTCTCTCTGAACTCAATATATGCTAACTATATGTCGTAAACAGTGACGCTCAATTAAACATATTTTTGGAAATTTAGAATATATCTAGTTTCAACCTTCATTTACCAAAAAATCTTTCAAGAGGCAAGAAAATACATTTCCAGCAGTTTTACAGTAGCCTACATTTATGTGTAATATGTTCACACATGTTATAGACAAGTTTTTCTTCTAATTTGACACATTCAGTGTTATTTTAGTATCATTGTGAATTTGAGATATTAAATTT